TTAAAAAATGAGACCTATGTCTAACTGAAGGCAGTCAATAAAAAGTGAAAAAATCTTGCCCGAGGCCGGACACTGTAGCCAGTAAAGCCTTGGAGGTGGAACCAAGAGGCTCTATCTTGAGCTCTATCTTCCCCGCCCCTAGGAATTTACCTGTGGTGCGAAATGAATACTAATGGGCTATCTGCACATCACTAATGCCCCTCAGGCACCACCCCAAACCTAAGCTACATGTATGCCCCCACTCCACGTGTCTGAAGGAGAGACTGCCAGACCCTGGAGAGACTGCCAGAACCAGGTGAGTCGGGGGTCTCTCCCGCATTCTTAAAATAAAGGTCATTTATATTTCATACTATCTTTTCAGCCACACCACAATTCTATCACCTGGGTTCCCTGGCTGGGAATCCAATTCTATCAAAAAGGAATAGAATAGCCTTTCCAGACAAATTTTATTAAAGATGAATTAACTTGAAAACTAGTGTAAAAGGTCCAACTCATTGTTAGCAAACAACTATTCTAGACTATTCTTTTCAGAGTGGTAACCTGAAAATTTCTTGTCAAAAGATAAAGGCTTTTAACACACTTTCCCCTTCTCTCATTTTATTCCTCCCAAGATATTTTTCTCTTTAAAACATGCAGAGCTCACTAAACTGGGAAAATTTATCTTTGTGCCTTGAGAATTTTCTCTTTGAAGAAAAGGGACTCAGTCTGATAATTCCAGAGTATTAATAATAATAAACTACCAGATGTGAAAAATGTCCTAAAATTATTGGACTATACCTTTCCTTTGCAGATCTGCATCAAATTGAGGGCATTGGAAATTGTGTACCGTCTTATTGTGGAGTCTTTGATAGCAGGGCTATAGACAAGTTCAAACCCCAGACCTCGGTCAATTGCCTTCACAGAAAAGAAAATAAAGTGTCAAGGATAAATACATCTGTCCTACTTACTTTTCACTTAAGTCCCCCTCACCTCCCTCTTCATTCTCTCCCACTGGTCTCCCACACCTCAAGGTGCAGCTTTAAACAAATTCAGATTCACACCCAGACAGTACCATCTATAAGGAGAAGAAAACAGATCCGTGCCTCTGTTTGACTGATAGAATTGATTTTAGCCGTGAGGAAGCTAACTATATAAAAACAGACTCATGAAGAGGCTATGGAGAGCCAAGCCCTTGGGGGATGGCAGGAGCATACCACTCTGAACTATCAAAAAAAGAGAGCTGAGCGCTCCATATTTACCATGAACCATGTATAAGCAGTAAGTCAAGTAATTTAACTTAACAATGAGAAAAAAACAAAGAAATGAATAAAGAACAGGAGTAGGAAGAGTTCTCAGGCTAGTTATTTATTACCCTACACTGAATCAGAGAATAACAGCAAGGGTAATTGAGTCCTGTGTGCTAGGTGCTGAGCAGTCTGACATCTGTATTTAACCCGCACAGTACCTTTATAAAACATTGTGACATACTATTCTCTTTTCTTCAGTAACAAAGCACTTGATTTTTATCAGGCCTTACTGTTGCTTAATTTAAAAAAAAAGTTTGGGCCCTTGAGAATTTTGCCCAGCTTACTATAAAAGCTTGGCCTTTCTGCATGAGGGAAAAAAAGGATCTTTTCCATTTAAAGTACTCTCAGTACATCAAGGTCCACTTGTCAGAAAACCTGCAGGGATGGCAATATGAAAATCACCCACTATAGTACATGGCTTTCTTGATGAGTTGACTAGTGCTTCATTCATTCACAATGGGTACACTTTAAGCCCATTATGTGTAAAAGCTGGGATCACTCCCCCTTTCTAAGAGCTTACACTCTAGGGAGGGAGGCCACCAAGCCGATAAATATATAAAACTTCAACAGCAATAGAATTAGATGTTATCAAGGAGAAGTTTGAGAGGAGGTGAGAATTACACAGAATTAAACCTAATAACAAAGGGAAACATCTGAAGAATTTTTAGCACAGAGGTGACAGACAGCAGTCTTTTGAATGAACAAAGGATATGGGCACAGTCAGACAGAAGGTCCAAGTTCAGGCTGGTAAATGAGTTTCGATTACCCATGAGTTGGAAATGGTTAACTGGAGACATATTCCTGAATGTTTACAGGGAATGGAGGAACTTGTTTTCTTCCCGAATCCGCAGTCCACCTTGATTTAATTAAGGTGGGCACTGAAAGACTCTTTCACTTTTCCTTGTGAAATACAGATTTCCTTTCTGTTCTTTTTCTCCTTTCCCGTATCTTGCTCTCCTCAACTTTCCTGTGGACTTAAGCTCTTGACTTTAGATTTTCCTATGTAGCTGATATTAATATGGTTGGAACTTAAATATAATTTCCCATACTGCAACCCTTCCTCTCCTGTTCTGACATCTTTTTTCCACCTCTAATACTTTGGCCTGTGTTATTTCTGAAAGGATTTTGCCCCAGATGGCACACTGTGGGGTGAGGTGGGGTGGGGGGAGAAGAAGGCTGGGAGGCAGAACCAAGAGGCTCTATCTTGAGGTCACCTTCCCGCCCCTAGACAATTTACCTGTGTCGCGAAATGAATACCAATGGGCTACCTGTGCATCACTAATGCCCCTTAGGCACCACCCCAAACCTAAGCTACATGTATGCCCCCACACCACATGTCTGCCGGAGAGAATGCCGGACCCCAGAGGTTATAGTCTCTCCCCGCATTCTTAAAATAAAGCCCATTTTTATTTCATACTTCCTATCTTTTTAGCCGCGCCAAAATCCCATCAGATGGTTCCCTTCCATGCCGAAAATTCTATCAATTTCTTGGTACATTTACTATGGTTAAATGTATTACTCATTCCCCTGTTTAGCTTGTACATTTCTTAGAGCTGGTATCACAAAACCTTTGTAACATACAACTGACTTTTACACAAAGAAGTTTTAGGTATAAAAACATACTTCTATTGTGAGTGAATGAATAGCAGCTTATGGAAAGAGGTAATGTCACTACGGATTATCCATCATAAAAAGAACCAGAATTAACTTGTGTAACTAAACTCCAGATAACTATCTCTGTGTCTATTCCTTTCACTAAAACTACTAAGTAGCCAAACAAGGCTGATATATTTCTTTCCTTCACCCTTCCAGTTATAGAGCTGAAACACAAGGCAGTTGAAGGGAGAAGAGGGGACCTAACAGATGTACGTAACACCGAGCTGGATGACCAGATCCCAACAGATTCCTACATGGCTGAATCTACATTTCTAAACCCCGTGGGACTTAAGAGAAAAATAAAAACTCTTTCTGGGGAGGAGGAGAAAAAACACACAATTATCAGCTTAATTTTTAAGTAACCATTTTGTTCTTGGTTTGCTAATCAAATTCACTTCAAACTGCCAAGAAAACTCTTGAAAAAGAAATTAAAGATAATGTGCTATTGATGGCTTGAAACAGTTTTTTCATAGTATCTATTTTAAATTTTTAGATGGATAAAATGAAGACTCATTACCTGGACTCCTGCTTCTAAGACCATTTTAATGTAAATTGCTGTATGCTCATCAAATGATTATTTGTAACAGCCTCTTCACAAGGCATGACAGTGCCTGCCTGATGAGCTTTTGTTCTTATGTTGGACAAAAGGTTCTGGAATAGGAGATGATCAGATTTCTTTACTAATGAGAAATAACAGTCATAAAGAGCTTACTAAGGGCAGGTTTATAATATGAGTCTAGAGATACTAGTAATAAAATTCCAAATCATAAAAAGTTAAGCAAACCTTTAGAGAAAAAAGAACATAGAGAGCTGACTACTAGGCCAATATTAGTCTCTGCTAATTTTATAAAAATTAGAACTTTAATTAAATTCAAAAGGATGGCAGTCTTTCAGTGTATCATTAAGACAGGTAACCTGTTCACATAACTCACCAATCAAAGTAACATAAGAAAACAATACAAAGTCTTAAATAGCATCTGTTTCTAACTGCACTCCTATCACTGCTTTGATGAATTTATTTTTTCCAGAGTTTCATGCAAATATAGATAATTATGAATATATATTATTTTTTCCTTTTCTTACTCAAAATGTAGCCTGCTATATTCTTGTCCTGACTTGAAAGCTTTCTCATGCCATCTCAATTTCCTCATTCTATATGGCTGCATAGTACTACATTGTTACAGCCTTACAGTTATAGTGTTCAACCAGCATTATCTGAAGACTTGGGTTGTTTTAATATTCCTATAGAACAGAAGTGGGTATTATGAGCTAAATTGTATCCCCATTTATATAAGATATTTTGCATTCTTAATCCTCAGTACCTCAAAATGTAATCTTACTTAGAAACTTGGTTACTGTAGATAATAACTGAGATGAGGTCATACCGGAAGGCGTAAGTTCTTAATCCAGTATAGCTTATACTTATAAGAAGACTGCATATGAAGACAGAGAGACCCTCAGGGACAATACACTGTGAAGACAAAGGCAGAAATGGGAGACAATGGGACTGCAAGACAAGCACTGACCAAGACTGCTGGTGAATTAGCAGCAAGAAGTATAGAAGGACTGCCTTTCAGGTTTCAGGGAGCAGGACCCCGGTGATAACCCTGAGTTCAGACCTGTGAGACAATATATTTGTTACTTTAAGCTGTTTAGAGTGTAGTACTTCATTATGGTACACTCAGGAACTACTGTACTAGGTTAAAGGGTAAATGTATCTATTTCAGTAGTTGTCACACACCCCGAGCCCCGTAAGAATTGCTCCCATTTATCTTGCTGTATCCAAACACCTGGCTTCTCAGAGTCATACAATGGAGTGTATCATCAATCTGACAGTGATTTTAATGTTTTCTTTTATTATGAATTTAAGATTTTTTCATGTTTAAGGATAATTTGTATTTTTTATAAAATGTCTTAATATTTTTAATTTATTTTTGTACTGTTCACCTTTTCTCTTTTTTAAGTTATTTATTTCTAGGAGCACCTTATATCTTAAGAGGTTTATCCTTCATCTATGAATGAAAATAATTCCACTAGTTTTTAGCTTTGTTTCTGGTGTTTTTCTTTTCTTTTTTTAAAATCTACTTGTCCTGTTTGCCAGCAATGATGTAAGTACTGGGTAGGTGAAGCACTTAACACATTTAGGTTTACAGTATGTGCTAAACTTTATAGAGTATTCATGCCTAAATCAAGAATATATGGCATGATTCCTGGAACTATTCCATTGTTTATATGACACTATACACTAGATATTTCTCAGTATGGACCAACTAGATCATAAAAATAGAAATGGCTTATGGTTAAAAGAAGAGTTAAGGGGAAAACTTCAGAGAGAGTGTAAAATAAATGATCACTAAAAATAACTCAAACTTGAAGTCACTAACAATTTAACAACACTAATATTAAAAAAAATCAAAGGAGAGGTAAAGATATGTGCCACTTTAAAATTCTTCTCAAAACATGAATGCATAAAGTTCATATTTTAAAATATGAAATTATTCTGTGCCTAATGAAGAACTCCGCTGTAAAGCTTTCACAGCATCTCCCCATCAGGAACGACAGCGGGCCTGGAAACAAGGCCTGAGTACAAACCCTCAGCCAGCTCTCTGACAGATGTTTAACCATGAACCCCAACTGTCCCCAGACTCTGTTCCATTATCTCCATGGGGATATTAACAACCATTGTACCCCAAAGTCACTGGGTCATGATACATGTGAAGATGTATAAACTATAAAATGCCAGAGAGTAAGAAGCCAGTTGATAATCCAGTAAGAGTACTTTAACCCAATTTTTAAAATGCACACAGGAAAGTGTTGCGATTATCATACAAATTACTTAAGATTCCAAAAGAGGTTTGTGGATTTTAGTGGGTACTTCTTAACTGAAATTACGGAGCCGAGTCCTGTCAAGTTTAAAAATAGAGTGCTTTGGTTCAAATGCTGTGTGCTCCAGCTTCCGGGGCTCTCCACAGTCCCAGCCTTCTGTCTATACTTCTCATGTAGCTTCTGGCCTGCAGGTAAAAAGTCTAATAAATTACCTACTCTAATAGTCCTGCTTTTCACCACAGCAAAATAAAAAGGATGTAAGGCCTAACCAAATTAAAATTTGTGCTATTTTCTCATGAACTCAATTAAGTGGTCCTTACTAAGTTAACTTATCAGCTTTTCATGGCCAAAGACAAATTTATTCTCTAAGCCATGGGCACATATAAGGATCAAGACAGCGCTAAACTCCTGCCCATACTCACTGCTGGTTCTATGCCTTCCCAGGGAATACATTTTCAACAGCCCATATCAACATTCGATATTATGATGCAAATAAACAAATGCATCTATAGAATAATTATAATCGTCCTAAACAAAAAGTCAGACACTGGCATGTTTCCAGTTTTCTCTCTTAAATGAAAAATCACTGAAGAAATTAACAACAGGGACTCTTCTGCTTCCTAGACAATTCACACTATCCTCTACTCTTATGCTACATGACAGTCGTAGCTATATTTTCTTGTTGCTGAGAGAAAATACCCAACACCCAAAGTTAAAGGAGGAAAGGTTTGCTCACATTTTTAAGGTTTCAGTCCATAAGCAGCTGCCTTCAAGGCAGAGTGCCAGGCAGAGGGGCATTGCAGAGAAAAAGTTCATGGTGGGTAGAAGGTAGCAAGCAAGCAAGGGGCAAGATAAGTCTCTTTCTGTCCCTTATGTTGTATCCCGGCTCCTGGGACTAGACTGGGGCCAAACCAATCGGTGGATTGACCAAATGATCACCCTTCTTTAAGAACCAATCACACATGCTGGACTCAGCCACCTCTGAAAAAGCCCCACCTATGACCACATGAGGCTTTGGGTGGGACGTCTAAACACAAGGCACAACATTATGACTAAAAACAATCTTGTGGGGGCTGGAGATTTAGCTCAGCAGCATAAGCGCCTGCCTTGCAAGCAGGCAGTCCTGAGTTCAATCCCTGGTACCGATAAAAAGGAAAATGACCAAAAAAAAAAACCACTCTTGTACAACCTTTTCTTCTACTCTATCCTCTGGCTTTTATTAAACATATGTAAAATGCTCACACTGGTTATTTTTTAAAAGAAGACACTGTGTTAATTACTGTACATTCCTTTCACTTGTCAAAGTTTTTGCTTTTCAGAATTCTTACACTGAAAAACGTGGGAATCATGCCAGAAATATCCATCACATAAAGCAGCTTTCCCACATTTTCAGACAGAACTGGGGCAGACTGTCGCAGTGCCTCTGTCATGAATGCCAGTCTCACCTGCACGGTGCCCTAGCGCCTGGCACTTTTCTTACTGCGTGTGCTTTTCACTCCACATTGACAATTACCTGGCCAGCCCGGCATGCGGGGTTAGACATACACTGACAACAGTCAGCAAACTTGAGAAAAGACGCATGAAACTTATTCTGGGGTAATTAAAAAGGCCCATGGCATAGCAGAGCTATCTAAAGTCCACAATCTGGTTTAATATTAAAGCATGTTTATAAGAAACTCAATCAAAATCACTCACCAAAATTAACACTGGGAATCTTACTGTTGCTGTGGGACATGAGGAACTGTGTGCTGTGTGTTGCTGTTTTTCCCATGGACTTGGCCTTGGCAACACATGCCATTGTCTCCTCCCCGCTAAGAACAGTATATGTGAAATTATTCAGCCAAAGCCACGTAGAAAATGCCCTCCCTAGCTCATTAAGATGAGGAAAAAAGTCAAAAAGTTTTAAGTGTAATAACAACTTGCATTGTAGCTGCACTAACTTTAAAGGTGGTATTTACATAGTTCCTACTTAGCGCTTAGCAATTGAGCTGGCCAAAAGCAAGCTTCTAAACACAGAGATTTCTACCTCTAGAGAGGAACAATATGCGAGGCTAGCAAAACTGTCATAACCTTGGTTTACTGATTGGCTTGTGGCTTTTATCAGAGTACCTGTGGACATACCAAAGTATTATCTGATAGGCAACTAATCAAACTGTCCTAAAGCTTTAACTGAAGAGCTGACTTCTTCCTAAGCCTGCATTTCCTACATTTGATATGGGAGCTGGTGAATAATACAGATCGTCAACTTAGAAAGGTCTTAGGGGTTTTTGTGCTTATTCATTCAGAAGGACTGGTACTAACATGGGAAGCCAATGATTTGCGTTTAGTCAACCCAGTAGTGTTACAGATTCGGTACTAGTCTCAGTGTTTACCAGCAAAGAGCTGTTTAATAATAGTTTTTTCCTTGAAATTCTTGACCCATTTTTGGTGCTTTTCAAGTACAATTTCTGTAGCATATTTTTAGGGGTACAATATGAACTGATTTAAAATTTTCCACATGAAACAGATCTATATTCTGCCCTCATTTTCTCCCCACTGATACTCAGCATCATGCCAATTAGCAGAAGAGTAAAGCAAAAACTGAGGAAGTTACATGTCTACAGAGACAAAGAATAACAGAGTCACTCACCTTGCGAAAAACCCCTAATGCTCCAGTGCTGACAGGATTAGTTAACTGGGCTGTATTTGTTTAATCTTTTTCTTGCATGGTAGGTTTTGAGAATGAGATTTGAGTTTTGGAAACTACTCTTACAATAGCTTTCTTAGTATCTGGCTGGCAAAACAAATAGTTAACAGCTACCAAAAGTAGTTACTAGTGTGAAATTCTATCACCTTTATAATGGAAGTGGAAGGGGGCTGAGGCCCGGAAGGCATGTGAAAGATGGAAGATATGGGAATGGGAATGGGAAGAAAACAGGAGCAAACTATGTAGCAGCATAATGAGGAAAATTCTACAGCAAGTGAGCCAAAAACGTTCCCTGAACACATGGCCACTCTATTAAGGTGTTAAAGTACTCCGGAGCGTTTGTGGGAGCCGGCGTGCTTCAGCGCAGGTAGTAATTTTACACAGAGCACACCCAGGTGACTCCAGTTCCTGCCTGTCTTCCCTGAGGCTGTCGATCTCTCTCAAGGATCCTGTATTCTTTGTCTTGTCTTTACCATCTGTCTTTACTGCTCTATCCCTTTAATGTTCAGGCTAAGTACTCATCATTAACAGCTACTCTCAAGAAATATCCTCAAGTTTTAATTTCTAAAACCTTTTTAAAAAATCTCAGTAATGAGGGGCCAGGGATTTAGCTCAGCGGCATAAGTGTCTGCCTTGCAAGCGCCTGGTCGAGTTCAATCTCTGGTACCAAAACAAACAATAAAGCAGAATAGAAAAATCTCCGTAATGAACTGAATACTCTGTTATTTCAGGTGGCGTCAAACTATATGGCATACATTGGCCTCAAACACTTGGGTTCAAGCGATCCTCAGGCCCCGAGCTGCCAGGACTATAGCCACCCACTATTGTTATCAGCTTGGATAATTTTTAAGGTTTTTTTTCTCACTTTAGTTGACTTACAAAAAATAAAACCATCTTTTCTAAAACTTCCTTTCTCATTTTTTCTTCCCTGTGAGAACACTGGTTTCTTTTGTCCTTTTCCAATTTGATGGTTTCTAATTTTGCAAGTTTCTACAGACTCAGTCTGGAAATTGTAACACTTACCACATTAACAGGGGGTCTTTTAAAGTAAAACGGCAGTTTCTCTGTTACAGTAACGCAGACTAAATCCACATCTAAATGTGTGCAGGCAACCTGTCAAGGCAAAAAAGGCAGGTAAGGCTAACTGGGAAACGGGCACAGAAACAATGAGCCAAGCCTGACATAAAGAGGCAGAGCTAGGTGTGGCTCACTCTGTAGGCCTTAGGGTGGTCTGTATTGAAAGGCACAGGACCTGTTACAAAGCCAGCTGCTTAGCCGCTCCTTCAGGACTGGTTCACGTGGGCTAACTGCCCACCTGAAGCACAGAGGTAGATCCACAGATTTCCTCAGAGCGCAGGGTCTGGAGACCCGCTACTTCATACAGTCTTCCACACAGGGACGGTTTGCTGAGTGAGTTCAGTACGTGGAAGTTACTTCAGACTGTTGCACAAAGAAGGCACTGGAGGTTGTGAAATTTAGGGGAGCAACTTGCCAAAAGGAAGGTGTTCAGGACCCATTTGTTCCACAAACTATGTGCCAACTACTTCTGCCATGAATTGTCGCAGGGTCATGGTTCCAATCAGTCTACTGAAATTAACACAAGATTCCTGATATCATTTTGTACAACTACTAATAGAAACAGTGCACATAAATGACTAGATTACAACTCTCATAAATCAAATGAAAATATTCTTTTCCAACTTTAATTTTCCTTTCCTTTATTTTAACTTCTGTTATTGTTGATCAACACTGCATTTAGGTCTAAAAGAGATGAAACTTACAAAAACCATATATAAAATAAAACACAAGGATATCATGATAAATGGAAAATCAGGGAAGGAAAATAAAGTTGTAGAAAGGTTTCTAAGGTGCGGTATAACACAGAAGACATGCTACAAGGTGCCTACCTGACTCTGATTTTGCCATTATTTGATTTTTAAAGTTTGATTTACAGAGATAAAAAGAACTGATTGTCTTAAAAACAAGTCTATTGTCACAGCTGTTATGCACAGGATTGACAAACAAATTTAAAATGCCCAGACAGCTGTGCTGGCAAAGGAAAAATAGCACGAACCACTAGGAAAGAGTAGGGTAAGGAACAAGGGCAGAGCAAGGACCCGCTGCGGACCGGCACTGACCAAGGCTGGCACACACATCACATCTTGCTTTGCTTCTTCAAAATCCCTGCTGTAGTCTCTCTGTCTCCCACCCCAGGGCTTAGGAAGCAACTAGTGCTCAGAGACTGCCTGGCTGTAAGACGTCCATAGTGACTCAGTAAGCCTGGGAAGCAATGCTGACCTGCCAGAAACCCTTGGCTCGTAAAGAATCTGCCCCATCCCAATTATACTGGCTGCCCAATTCACAGAAGAGTCACTGAAAATTTAGTAATTTAGATGAAAAAATGCTCTGAATAGTACGTGAAATGAGTGAACTATCGGGCCAGCAAAGATCAAAATGTTCATATTACAATGCTGATGTAAGAATAAACAGGTTAGGGGCTGGGGATTTAGCTCAGCGCATAAGCGCCTGCCTTGCAAGCAGGCAGTCGCGAGTTCGATCCCCGGTACTGATAAAAAAGAAAAAAAAGACAAAAAAAAAACCCCACAACAACAACAACAACAACAACAACAAAAGAATAAACAGGTTACTCACAGAATTTTAAATCAGTAAAGGGTTTCAAAAAGTACTGTAGCAATAACTATTAAAAATTTAAATGCACAGACTAGCAACTACACTTACAAGAATGTATTTTAAAGACATCCAGAAATATATGCTATAGCTATATACTTTATTTGGATTAAGGACAATAGTATAAGGACAGTTACTGCAACACCAATCACAAAAGAGTAGACACAATTAAATATCCCTTAATTTTACATAAATATGATCTATTTATAGTAGGGAGTGTGTCAACTCCTTAAAGGGGATGAGGTATATCTCTCATTCATATTATGGAATAATCTCCAAGATATACTGGAAGGTAAAGAAAAGCATGGTGTTAGGTAAGAAGAAAGAGACAGAAAGCGGAAAATCAAAGAAAGGGAACTTAGGTGAAAAATATTTCTGAAAAGATACACGAGAATGTTACAGTAGTTGTTCTTCTAGTTACACAGGAAGTTCCATAGGCTTCCTCTGATATTTTATATCTAAATGTTCCAAACTGATCTCTTCTGTTAGTTTTTTATTAATCTAAATGTTCAATCGGTAATTTTTTTTTTTTGGTACTGGGAATCAAACTCAGGACCACAGGAACTTGCCAGGCAGGCGTTGTGTTGCTGGGCTATATCCCCAGTCCTCAACTGGTACATTTAAAGAATCATAAAATAAGCTACTATTTCTACTGAAATGAATTACTTTCTAAATCATTAAAAACCACACATCTATACACATTTTTGCTTTTATAGCACAAAAGGATTCACAGTCACCTGTACCCACCAAAATTCTTTCATGGATATTACATTAATACACTTTGGTATTTTATAAAAAATATTATTCAAGAGAGGTCGGGCCTACCAAGGGAAAAGAAAGGCCCATAAACAATGGCTCTCAATCCTAGGTAGGTATGAACTCTTCTAAAGAATTTTATTAAAAAGAGATTCTCACTAGGCCCACCTCCAGTGATTCATTTGGTAAACAGGACCTAAAAATCTGCATTTTAGCAAATCCCCTAGGTAAATCTGAAGCCGGAAGACATATCATTCTGAGAAACATTGCCTTGAAAAGAACTTTCCTCACCAAAGTTTTCATGACAGCACTTGCAAAGACAAAGCATGCATTTTAGAAGCAGAAAAAAACAAGCTTCTATTTCCATTTATTTCTTTATTTACATATGTTCTTGAAATTATCATTTTCTTTTGTATGTATATATTCTTTTTACAAAGCACACTGGTGTCATGGAACAAGTGAACAGTCTGTATGAAATACACACATGTCGGAGGTACTATGCTTTGCCTCTAGATGTCTCTCCAAAGCCTCATGCAGTCATGGGTGGGACAGGCTTTTCAGAGGTGGCTGGATCTAGAGTGTGGAGCTGGGATCAAGGATATTTGACTACTAAATCAGTTCACTGATTGGTTTGGGTTGTTCTAGTTAGGATGAAGGGTGTGAGTACTACATCCGCCATAGGGCGGGTAGCCTGCCTATAATGTAAGGGATAGAAAAAGGATTGTCCCCTCCCTTCCTTGCTTGCTTTTGCTGTCTTATGCTTTCCACAAACTGGTCTAGTCTGTGTTGTCCCTCTGCAAATGAATCCTGTCTTGGAATCAACCAATTACAGACTGAAATCTCTACAAATTGTGAGTTAAATAAATCTTTCCCACTTTGAACTTTGGGTATCCGGGATTTTGTCTCAGCAGTAAGAAAACTGAGAGCATGCTCAATATTTTTTAAACAAATAGGAAACACAGTCAAAGTAGTCTGGAGAACATTGGCCTAAATAATCTGAATTCTTTTCCACCTTTCTTAGTTGCTTTAAATCTTAAATGTGAATAACTGACTTGGAAGCTCCTGAAGCTACTGTGCAATCCTCCTTCTCTGTAGCAGTCCACAGCTGCCGCTATCCCGGTGAACCCCTACTTTTCTCACAATCTCTAATCTTTGTCCTGCTGCCTTGGGTGGCTATGGCGAGAAAGGCTTTTTTATTTATAAGACATCTTCTAGATACTCTGAATGGTATACAGCATGCTATTTTCCATGGAAACAATGCTATTTAAAGTGGTTAGACTTTGTGTTTCAAACTGCTAACATATGTATATGTGTGCATGATTCATCTTAGAGACCTAACAAATTTTAGAATATCATTCCTACAGGAATGTCTGTTAAGAGACTTGGACAATCAACTTATAAAACAAAATCACTTACGGTGTACAACCTGTTAAGCAACAAACTGCTTGCGTTTGCCCTGCTTCCCAAAACATGACATCCTTATAAAAGCTTTATGGTTAAAAGAAAATGTCTTTTTAACTGACTTTCTGTAGGAAATAGGGGGAGTTCTAATTTCATCTAATGCCTAAGGAATGAGTAAGATGTAAGCAGAGAACAGGAAGATAATCCAATTTTTAAAACTTGCTCTTATGCAACTTTTTGAGTATCAGTCAGTTCCAAATGGTGAATTATTTATATCTTCTAAAATATTTCTGACTGCTCCACCCACCATCAAGCAGGTGTTCAGTAATTTAAATTTGAATATCCGAGAAAAGTGAGTAATAAGGCAAAACTGCTATACTATATTATGTTCTTTAAAAATCCCAAAGTCCTACCTCTGCTACATAACTTGGTGTTTTATTTATCTTAAATCTCCATTTTCTCCTGTATAAAACAGTGATAGTAAAAAATACCTATCCTAACTATCCTACAGAATTGTTATGCAAGTTTAAGGAAACAAATACATAAAAGTCTTGTATATTTATATACAAGTCATGTACATTTTTCAGTCAAAATGTTTCTTAAAGGTTTTGTTTCCCTAATTACCAGTAAAAAGCTATGGAAATGTTAAATGATATTCAAATTAACTCAGAATTAAAATATACAACAAAGCTGCTATATTGCCAAACAAAGCTGATATATTGCTTTTAGTCTACATCATTACTGAGTTACTTAGTAACAAAACTGAGTCACAAATATGGAAATGTCCGTGGTTCTCTTTATACCGAGTATCAGTGTTTTCAGCACTGAATGAGACTTTGCTGCAGAACTTAGAATACAGATTCCCAGACTCAACTCCAAAACCTATGGAACAGAATCTCCAGTAGTAAGGGCTGAGTGTGCCCATGCTTTTTCTTCTAAATGTGCCCAGTTTTAAAAAGTTCTACAGCTATCTTTGATGACTAACAACTACTGACTTCCACTCACCTCTTTAATTGAAACAAAATCCTTGAGAACTGCTATCATTTTGCATTTTATAAAGGAAGCTACCAACAACATGCCAGGTATCCATGGATGATTTGTGGTGTTTCTTTCCATTAATATAATGAAGTATTGATTGTGTTCCTTGAAAACCAAATACCACACATCAGCCTCCTTAGTCACTAGCTCCATCTACTGGATAAACTTAAGAAAACGCTGTAATTTCAGAACACTTTGCTTAGCAAAGAACTAATGTAAAATTAAAACATCTAAAACCAATTGGTTTTTCACGCAACACCCTTTGCCAGTTGGAACTTTTCTGAACCTAGACAAAGACAACCTGTAGAACTTTTATACAGTAAAACATATTCCTTAAAATAGTACATTGCAGTGATTTTTTTCCCCCCTTTACTGCAATCATTTAAAAATCTGAGCAGAGTGCACTGTCTCAAGTTGACAAAATGGGCACACATGCTAAAAGCCCCTTTGTCTCTGGCAAACGTACTGAAATGGCAATTCTAAATGTACAAAAGGAATTAAAGTCAGAAAGGCCGTCAGAATAGGAAAGGAAATTTCTGGAAAACTAAAGACTGACACGTACATGTTGGCAGATGAGCTGCACCTCAGAGCATGTAACAGGAAGCTGAACGGAGAAGGCGGGTTTCATGCTACAGTAGAATTTTACCTTATTCTTCATCAGGCAGCACCAAAAAAAGGACTTAGTGAACATGAATCACAAAGCGATTTCAGAGCTAGAAATGGGCCCCACATTTATCTAAAAGAAGTTTGGAACAAATAAAATAGAGATAAAGAAACAGGAAATATCTGATGACTTCTTCAAATGAGTCTATCAAATATCTAGCAGGATGAACAAAACAACCAGGCAAACAAACAAAAAAACCACATACAACTTAAATATTTCCCTGTGAAATTTCAGAATTTCAAGTGTAAATGAAAAATCCTAAAGATTTCTAGGTGGGACAAAGAAGGTCACCTTCAAAGAAGTAACATTAGATTTCTTATATAGAATAATAAAATACTACTTGCTTTTACTTATCTGTTACTTACATGAAAAAGTTTTTCTGTCTTTGGAAAAACTGCAATGATATCATACAGCCGGACTCTTGAAGAAGTTGCCCTCTAGTAATGCAAAAAGAATGTTACAGAGTAACACAAAGTAGATGCATGAATTCCTGCCTAGTGAGGTAACCACTTACATTTTAATCATACACTTTTGCTATACTATTGACTTTTTGTTTTGCTTATATAAAAGGACATGAGAATTTAGATCTCCATAGCCAAACAAGTTATCCTATCTTTTTTTTCTACATTTGTTATTCAAAACACTGTAAATGGGACATAAAAATCAAAGATAGTCCCTGATCTTTTACATTGGTAGAGGAGTTTCCCACACAATTACTGAGTATCTGTTGTATGCTGGGCAATGGGGATACAAAATTATTAATGTAAAATCATTAATACGAAATCGCTCAATTAAATTTACCTCTTTTTGCAAACAAAAAAAAAAATACACAAGACCAAGTGTTCTATATTCTATGTAATGTACATCACTAAGTGTGATGTAATCAAGTGCAAAGAGAACTTAGTTCCAAAATAAAATGATAGATGAGCAAGAAAATACTTGACTATCCTGGGACAGAAAAGAATACAGTGGTTAAGCCAGATAAGTGTTTAAAAAGGAAAATCTGAAACCTATGATATATGCATTTATATGTGAAAAGATTAGAAAATATATATTCAAATATGTATGATCTCTGTATGAAATTATAATGGGTGATAGGCCCAAAATGTGGCCTTGTAGCTGTATAAAATACCAAAGTTCGGCTTTTTACAGATTCTTTAGCAATTACTAATTGTAATAAAGTGGGTCAGCCTTTCCTTGATCACTTCCCTTCTTCAGAGGTGTTCATGCTAGTTAAAGATGAAATAACTCACGTCAGGGATTTCCCTTGATTGTTCCTATCAGCAGGCACATTCCAGTATCTCTCATTCAACAAATACAATCTCTTTACATAGCAAGCTTTTATCTATCAACTACCCTGTGCTTTCTGTTCTCCTTCAGTGTTAAATTTCTAGGCAAAGTTATTTTCTTAGTTAAAATCCTCCAAGGCTCCCCACTGTTCAGGGGCTCCTCACTTTGTCTTCCCTCTCTGATTTCCGTGGTTTCACGTCTTTATACAAGTTCTCCTGATGGTAGGAACTCACTTGTATACTATCCCTAGCTTGAATATCAACTTATTTAGCTTACATATTCCAAGATTATCCTTTCTTTGTCAATTCCTCCTTTAAAAACTTCCTTTACATTGCTAAGCATTATTTTTCCAGTCCTTGTCTTACAATTAAACTGCAAGCTTACACATTCAAAGGGTATAGGGCGATACCGGCAGCATCCACCTGATGGCTGGTTCACACAAATTCAATGAATGAACGTTGACAGGGGATTCTTTAATTGTGTCATTGTACATGTGCTATGAGTAACGCAGACATGTGGAATACGGTATGAATTTTAGGGAGAGGGAGAGCAGGCAGGAATCACGGAGAGAATGAGGAAACATAAAATGCAGTGGTGTTCAACATTAACCAGTACAGAATACAAGGCCAAGAAGGAAGGCCGAAGGAGGAAAAATAACTAACTTACCAAAACATTGCAGTGAGATGGATCTGTAACTATAATCGTCAGTCTAGTTAAAATTTTAATTGGTCTTGATTTTCCCTAAAAATAAAAAAGTTATCAAAGAAAGCATAAAACATAACTGACTGATTTTCTTTTGACAATAGAAAGTATTCATTAAAAAGTACTGGCTATAAGGGATGATGAAGATAAAGCCTAGCTCCCATTCATCAAGGGTTTACAATACAGCCAAGGAAAATATGATGTGTGCATACTAAATGACATAATGAGAAAAATTAGAATGTAAAACCTTAGGAAGGAAGAAAAACAAAGAAGCACCAAATTGATACTTAGTAAATATTTCACTAAGGGGTGAGCCTTCATGGAAAAGTAAGACTAGCAGGCAGAAGAAGAAGGTGCAGTCAAGTTAGGGAAGAGCATACATAACAGGCTATGTTTGAATTCAACGAACAAATTTATGTTCTTTAAAAATACTCACCTGAACAATTGGCAAAGTTGTGAAAAGCTCAGAAACCACTACTGGCTTTTCGATTTCCTAGAACAAATAATAAATAGTCACCCAAGACTATATATGTTAAAGATATGAAGCATATTGGAAAAGTTAATGGGTTAAGCTTTATTATTTAAAAAAAAAAGCAAGCAAATTTTAGGATTGAGAAAGACTAAAGCATCTCTAAAAAGAGAAAGGAAGGAAATTAAAGAGCAGAGAAGTAGCTAAGAATAAAAAAAATAAAAAAAGAAGTAACTAAGAATATCAGTGGATAAAAGGAATGAAAAAAAGTTTTAGACAGGAATACCCTATAAGATACAGCTGTTACCCTAACAATAAACATACATATTTCCCAGTATGCTTAAGGGGGACATCAACAAGTCCATGACAATAAAATAAAGACAAAATATCATGATGAAAGTTCAACCAATGCATTTTAAAATGTTATTGAGTGATTAAATAACATTAAATCTGCTTTAAGAATCCTTCCACAATGCTGGAGTATTTCCCAAAAATGTCATTTGACAAATACACATCAGCTCAAATGTTAATATATAATAACAATGTACAAATGGAGGGCATCTAATATATTTATCTGTATCTTTCCTATTCATAATATAAAAATAACCACAAATATTTAATAATTATGAATTTATTAACTTCAGAAATCTAACTTTACCTGTTTCTTTTCCTTAAAGTCAACAACATGATTGATGGCAACGACTGAATAACCAACTGAAAAGAAAAATGGAATATCTTATTAAATATTCTCCTGGTTGTACATTCAGGCCCATGCTGACTCTAGACATCAAGACATCAAGGCAGTATAGCAGAATTGTTAGGGGTGGGAACTCTCCTTGCTTTTAAATGCAGCTGTACCAATTACAAGTTACTTACTGTTACGTTTCAGATCCTTCATCCATCAAACGGTAATAACACTGTCTACTTCATACGCTTGTTTTAGGATTAAATAAAATATGTAATGTAAGATATTTTAGAATAGTGTTAGCCCCATAGTCCGGGCTTTGGTTAATCAGCAGGATTTCTTGTTATCACGACACTGAAAACCTGTGCTTCTGCTATTTCTTTAATGTCGCCTTGTTCATTTCCATCCCATCAAATTTACACCTATCCACTGTGGACATTACTTTTCCTTTCTACTCTATTTCCTTTCTTTCTTGAGGAGAGATGGGGAGTTAACATCCTCACACGACTGCCCACCTCTCTTTTTCTATTGCCCTTCATCAATAAACCAGGGAGGAGGCCAGGGATTTGCTCTATCACAGCATTGTTCTAGACATTTGACCTACCAAAGCCACATCTAAAATAGTACTCTTAAGTTATCTTAAAACCAATAGGATGGTAGGATATTAATACTGAAAGATAGCACGTATTAATACCAAAATAATGGTCTTCCCTTTCATGCATTGGTCCATTACTTGACAGCCCTATACCAGGAGCTGAGCATACAGATAAATAAAACAATTTTCATTCTAAAGAAGCTTAATAATTTATTGCAGACATAAGGCAGTTACACTTTTGTTTGTTTGTTTGTTTTTTGACACAGGGTCTTGCTGTGTAGTCCAGGATGGTCTTAAATTCACCATGTGGTCCAAATTGTCCTTGAAGTTATAGCAATCCTGCCTCAGCCTCCTAAGTGCTGGGTTACAGCTGTGTACCACCACATCCTAAATTTTTATTTTTGATAAGGAATGATTTTACAGAAGCATTGTCATAAAGTGACATTGTTTGGGAGGGATCAGAAAGCCCCTAAAAAGTAACCTTTAAAAACAGAAGATATATTTTAGGTTTCCCCTTTCACTCTGTCAATCAAATCAATCACCCCCACCTCCTCCACATCCCTTTCTAACTCCAGTTCTATGTTGGGCATCTGTTACACCCATTTGGGAAACAAGGTTAGCCAGTAAACAACATTCTCTTTATCCTTCAGAAATGTCAAACAGATTGTTTTTCCACAATCCTTTTTCCTTTATTACTCCTCGCTTGGTATTTTAGGAGTACTTTCCCAATGGGTCACTGATTTTTTTTTTTTTTGTATTTATATAATATGTGTCTAAAAAGTATTGTTAGTTTCTTATAAATAAAGGGAACATGTGTTCTTTATTCTTTAAAAATTTCTACCTGCCAAAAAACACTCTTTTGCCTTCTGCTTTATGAATTGTGATGATTTTTTGTCATTTCATAAATTTCACTTAATCTTTAAAGAAGTAAAGATTGGTTAACAATGCACACACCTAAATAGGGGCTTTATAAAGAAATCATAACTTTTCTATCCTGTATTGTTAAAAGTTTTCAGCTTATTCATAAGCATTAATGAAGTAACCGCCACATATCAGGGTATACTGTGACTGTAAAAAAAAAAACCAGAATATGTAATATTGTCCTCTTCTAAAGAAGCATAAATGTATTAAATAATGAGATAGCATCAGGGAAAGTTTCACTGAGAAATTAATATTTGCAATAAGGCACATCCAGGAAAATGTCACAGAATGTTAGCAACAGAAAGTCCAGGTCACTATGTTTATCCTCCCCTTTCTAAGGATGAGGTAAGTATGCCCCAAAGAGACAATGGTAAGCTTAATGGCTTCACTGAAAAGAGTTCTTTCCCTACCGATGGAGCTGGTCTTCCATTGATGTATTTGGCCAACTACAGATAAAAAATTTTTGGCTGGAGAGGAAGGTACTGTGTACGTACTGAACATATGCAGACATTTTTCCCTAGTCATTATTCACTAGGCAATATAAATGTAACAACTCTTCACATTTCATTATATTAGGTATTATAAGCCATCTCCAGGTAATTTAAAGTATACGGGAAGATATATTTGATTACCATATATATGAAAAATAATACCCAGTTTACACGAGATTTGCATAACTGATGATTTTTGAAGGGGAGGGACACTGTCAGGGAACCAATCTCTCATGGATACTAAGGGAAGTCTATTTCATAAAGAGAACAAGAAGAAATGGTAACTCACTTTGCAGATAGAAGTTATAGCATAGCTTCTGAAAGTATCCATAATCAGCTTCCACAATAAGCCTAGAACTGTCTACAGAACCCACGATACTGCATCGTATCTTTACTCTTTAACCCTTAGATCCCACACCTTACAGTGTAAGGAAGACAAAAACCGACTAACTCTAGTAGTCAAAACCGCGTCCCATCTCTCAGAGCTCTCGCTTCTCTTTGGTTCTAACATGAGTAGCATTCCAACATTCTGACTATGTGTCCACTCCCTCTTGTCTGGTATCACCTTCTTACCATTCCTCATTTATCATCCCTCTAAATAGTGTTACTCGACTTTACAGCCTCATACCCTCCCCGCTTGCGTTCCCAGCCTCTAGCATTTGCTTAGACCCTGTCGTAAGAATCGGGAAGGACTGGTATTAAAAGCACTGGCTTAGGTAGGCTGTATGGCTGGAATCCAAGCACCCATCAGCTGTGGGAGTCTACACAAATCCTTTGCCCTCGTCAGGCTTCGGTTCCCTAAATTTTCATTAAATATGCAGTTAAGAGCATTTTAACAGATCCCCCAAACTTCTTAAGCTTCTCAAAAGGGCAGCACCGAGGCTGGCAGGCTCCAGGGATTCCCCAGAGACCCTAAGAGGCCTGAAAGTGACTCGATGGTTGTGGGGACAGGGCTAGGTAGACTACGAGGTCCACGAAGCCGAGACTCACGATGAGCGGCAGTTTCCACCATTCCACGCAAAGCCTTCAGATCAGAACTCGCTCTTAGGTCTAAATCCGCAAACGCCGCCATCCTGAAGTCCCATGACCGCCTGCGCGCGCCCGTCTGCGCAGCCACGGGGCCACGCGGAGCAGGCTGGGAATTGTAGTTTCCTCTTTGACTGGATACACGGTGGATTGGTGTGACTTCCACTACCAGCCAAACCAGTGTGTTCTAACCAGCAGCCTAGTTTAGTCTTTCTTTTCTTTTGAATGAAAATCTCAACTTCTCCCTTATTCATTAAAAATTATTTAATTTTTTTATTTCTTTTTTAAACTAAGGGGAAAAAATAAAAAAAAAACTAGCAGGATATATTATAGTAAATTTTTTGATTTCCTATTAACATAATTTGAAGTCCTGTAATACTCCCACTATCTTGTTTTGACTGATTAGACTCTGTTCCGCTCTGTATGATAGTATTAAGTATCAGAGTATAGGCAACTACTTTGAAGGCAATAAGATTCACTTGATGCCCATTCTGGTTTGACTATTATCCTCTTTTGAAGTTCTGTAAGGTTTACAATGTTTAGGTTTTATTGGACTTGTTCTCTACTGTTTTGTTCAACTTTCTAATACCTAATGAGATAGACAATTCTTCTTAAGGAACAAGGGGCATTATGGTAACCATTGTTGATAACCTTGTACTCTGTTTTTACATCATGTGCTATGCCTATCCTTGGTTTTTACTGACTGCTTTGTTTTATCATGTTTGATTTTATTCTCTTACAAAAAAAAGTAATAAGATCTATGGGAGCAATAAAACCCAAAATGTGTAAATTTTGTTGTAATAAAGAGAGGGGGGAAAAAAGTGCCCTAAAAGATACAATAACAAGTGTGTTTAGGTGTGTTAAATAGATGACTATATTAATATTTTTGATTGGATCATTGAACACAACTATTTGCAGTCTCACTGCTTGAATTTTCACTTTGTATGCTCTGATCCTGTGACCTGAATCACCGTTTCAAAGATGATAGTGTATAATCTATTAACTGGTGATATCTTACTGTTTTTTTTTTTTTTCTGTAGTTCTGTATTACTTGTACCCTTACACTGTTTTGTTTTGTTCTGTTTTTTTTTTCCTCTTTTTCCTTTTAAATAAAAAAAGAAAAGAAAAGAAAATATTCGGTTCTCTCTGGAGCAGTGCATTTCTTCCATGTTTTTTGCCTATAAAATAAGGAAGAAAGTGAAAATTCGAAATGTACCCATAATGTAACTACATAGAGCCTATTTTGAATCAGTTTTCTAAAGCCCTGAAAGTGCTGTTTAAAGTGCCGCAAAGAATACGTTCTTCATTCCTTTCTCCAAAATCCGCTCCTATATTTAAAATATTCTTAACGTAAGGTGTGGGTGTGTACAACCCTAAAATCACGACAGAGGACTGTCGGAGAAAGGCGTCTTTTTGCACAGAGCAGGCCTTGTGCGGAAGCATGTTGCTCTATGTTTCAGCCAACGTTTTCAACCACAAGGTGGCAGGGCTCTCTCTTGAATGAAAAGTTAAGTGTCAGTATTGGTTTAGCTAAAGACAGGGCTGGGGAGGAAGGCGCAAACCTGAAATACGTTTTTCACAATTTTCTACGGAAGAAGCATTACAAGGTGGTGCAGAGCCAACACACTTATGTTTCCATTTTTTAACTTCTTATAAATGATCTCTTGAAGACTGATAGAACAATTATCTGAAACCATGAAATTGTGGAAGTACTGGATAAACCCCTAAAAATTTCTGACTGGAAAATAGCAGGAGTATGTGATTATTATAATATTTTATATAAATTATGTGATTTAACCCTCATGACCAATCAATGAGACAAATGTTATATAAATTATGTGATTTAATCCTCATGACCAATCAATGAGACAAACGTTCTTCCTGTTATATCAAGGAGGAGTTTCAGGGTCAGAGAAGATTGCTTTTTGAACTATTAATTTTTCCATGCAGAGCTTAGGGGCCTTTGGCATACAAAGCAACTTTGGTCCCCACTTTCAACCCATGCAAAATCTATCATTTTCTTGGATTGACCCATCTGTGCTTGGTTAGTCCTGGATCTTGTCTTCCTTTCATTTGAGTCTTTCTCAAATGTTTCTTGAGTCTTTCTCAATGTTTCTTGGGTGGGCCAAGAAACATTTTATGGGTCCATTTCTTCTTGCAGTTTGAGGCTAAAGGTAAAGTCAGACAAAAAAGCAATGCTAACTATACAATCATCATTTGAACAGGTATGTTGGAACTACTTGGAAAGGTCTTTTTTTCTCAGACTGAGGGGAAAGTTTGGACAAATTGGAGGGAGAAAGGATTGTTTTCTGGAAGAGGTATTCCATGAATTTTTTGATGAGTGAGGTCAAAAGAGTAATATAATGCAGAAATCTTGAATGTATCTTATTGATTGAATAAACACATGTTCTCTTGTCCTTTTGTTCAACTTCATCCTAAATGTAGCACTACTGAATTAATATCTAATGATCTGGCCAGAGATTCACCAGACTAGTCATATAGTACACCAGCATAGTATTCCAGAAACTCAAATGGAACTCTCCTTTTGTATCCCACAAGATGGAACACTTTAAAAAGCTCCTGGGGCGATTGAGAAAGATGTTTTTCCTCTAGGCAAACATTACATATGTCCTTTAACCATATAGAAGGGAAGTTAATGCAGTGAAGCATCTGTCCAACCTTTCCCAGAGACTCTGATAAGGCACAGCAGATAACTAATGTTGCTTTGTAGGATTTCAGGAGTCCAGGGGTAATTCTCCCCTTATTTTCTTGCATTTCCCCAGAAACTTCTGTTATTCATTTGCTATTATAAACATTTGCCTACTTACTATGATGGGATAATCTATCCTTGTTGCAATGTTAGATTTGTTTTTTTTTTTTAATCGATACCGGGGATCGAACTCTTGACCGCCTGCTTGCAAGGCAGGTACTTATGCTGCTGAGCTAAATCCCCAGCCCCTAGATTTCTTTTTAAAGTGCAATTAAGATGAAAGTGAAATATATTTCTTATGTGTCCATCAAATTCTGGAAAAATAAAGACAGATGAAAAAGACCTGAATGTTACCAAAACTCAAAACAAACAAACAAAAAACCTAGTATGAGAACATCTTTTGATTGTGAAAATAAAGGGTATTCCTACCTCTTTAAAATGCAAAATAAGTTTGTGTTAAAAACAATAAAGTTTAAGAAGCCTTTATGAAAGAAATCAAAGAACTATGACTAATATATGGAAAAGAAGCATCATATTAAACTTAATGAATGGAAAGAAAAGGATTTGAATTTCAACTGGATTAATTTCTTAGTGTAAATAGAATAAGTGATTATATTAGCCATGATTCTCTAGAGAAACAGAATCAACAGGATGTGTGTTTTTTTTTTAAATAAGGAATTAGCTCAAGTGATTGTGGAGGCTTACAGAACCCAGGATTTTCAGTCAGTAAGCTGGAGACTTGGAGAGCTGACAGTACCAAATTCCAGTCTAATCCAAAGGCTTTAGAACCGGGATTGCTGATAGTATAGCTCTAGTCCAAAGACAGGTTCAAGACCCAGGGATAACCAATATTTCAGTACGAGTCTAATGGAAGGGAAACACTGATGTTCTAGTTTTGAAACAGTCAGGTAGGAGGAATTCTCTCTTATTTGAGGTAGGATCCGCTTTTACCTTATATCACCTGCTACTTTATATCAACTTCAATTATATCACCTTCAATATAATTATATCACTTTAGGAAGGGTAACCTGCTTTACTCAGACTATTTATTAAAGTACTAATCTTATCCAGTAGCATCCTCACAGTTGCACCTTGAATAAAGTTTGACCAAATAGTTCCCCCTACCATAGACCAGTCAAGTTGACAAAAAGTAAACATCACAGGAATGGTGCTGCATGTTAAATGAAAAAACAAACAAACAAACAAAAAAAACTGCTCTGACATGAAATTGCAAGCAAGTTTTCGGAAAAATTTCTTGAAGCCAAAAAGAAGAACAGATCCTAAACAGAAATCAGCATTTACAAATACAATTCCTACAAGTTCCTTTGTTCAATATTTTGTAATATGGCTTAGAACTTGCAGGGGAAGTTATATGAGAAATCTAATTTTTTCTGGTATTTTTCATTGCAGCTGATAAGTGAACATATAGCTAAAAGCTATTTGTGTTGCTAAAAATTGTGATATGACTAACAACTGATGGAAATTGTGCTCCAAAAAGGCACAACATTATGAAGTGGCTTATTTTTCTGTACAGAGAGAAGAGATTTGAGCATTTTAAAGTAGACACCTCAAAAATGGTAACAATGACTACAGATGGGATTCCTGCTGGAGTCAATATTCACATCAGATGTATGAAACAGACGCACAATATGACAAGATTTTGTCAAGACACAAAATTTAAGCCAATTTATTGTACCACTGACCAGAAAACACTTTGTGTTCTAAATTTAAAAACTATAAAAATAAGGCACACATTTCTAAAGCATTAACCATGGCCCCCACACACTTCATGCTCCAAATAGCTACAGAGGATGCTGAGAAAAATGTGAACCGTTGAAAGAAATTTACTTATAAATGTCTTCAAGGGTAAAATCTTTATCTCAGCTTACCCAGGAAGACTGAATCAAATATTTTTTGTTGTTGATGATGCATAAATTCTTTAAATATTCAAAATATTTTTTCAAAAAGCCATTTAAACTGGTTTGTCCTTTTATAGAAAAATTTAATTTGGGAAACTCACATGGCTAGAAATATGATAGTCCAGTTTTTGTACTGTAACTGATTTTCACATATGAAAATGGTCTTGGTTACTTTTCACTTGTCACTGAAACGAAAATACCTGATGCCCAAAATTAGGGAAGTAATGGTTTATTTATTACTGTTCCTGGAGGTTTCAGCCTATATTCAGCTGGCTCCAAGCCTCAGGGTGGCATGGTCAACTGCCCTTCATGACTGGCTGTAAATAGCAAGGTACAAACCAGCAAAAGAGACAAACTTCTCCCCACCATTACATCATATGCTGGCTCCACCCCTAGGTGGGTGTAGCACTCACACTACCAATCCAAGCACTAGACAACAAACCAATCGATGCTAGAT